ACACATGGAATCTCTTGGTCTTTCTTCCCTAATTATATAATGGAGGGATGCTGACAGTAATAAGTAAAGCATACTTAAATTATGATATACATAAGTTTAGATGCAACTTTTCTTTTCCTTTATTTTCTTCTAATAGGTTTTTCTATTTTTGTAAAACTAGTCATAAAATAAAATTTTAAAAAATGAATTTAAGAAAAACTCACTTAAAATTGCCTAAATTAAAATCCAGCCGCCATCTTATTTATTGCAGTTTCAAAAGTGTGCACACACAATTCGTGCTACAGCAGCCAGAATGGAATTCAGCATCGCCTGAGTTAATCCTTACCTTAACATGCTGTGTTCGCTGAAGCAACCTCCTGTACAAATTTCTTGTATTCTCATATTCTTCTTGTTCAATTTCAAAGTCTATGTAAGATTTCCAAAGTACCTAGGAGAAGAAAACTCTGTTCTTCCAACTTGGAATATAAAAGCAAATTTACAAAAAACAATCCATATAAAAAGTGCCTAAAATAACAGATATGCATGGAGGAAAAAAATGTGAGCAACTATATTATTTTATGTACTTTTTAAAAGGGGGTTATCTTGATTATCTCTTCATTTTTATCCCTATATCATGAACTCTATGTTGCAGTAAGAGATGTGGCTGGTTCAGAATCACCTAGTCCAGTGATGGCGAACCTATGGCACGCGTGCCACAGGTGGCACACGGAGCCATTTGTCGGCATGCGAGGCGCTCTCTGTCAGCTGGCCAGTGTGCATGCACGCGCTGGCCAGCTGAGTTCACCCTTTTTTAAAGCTATTTTTCACCTTCCCCAAGCTCCAGAGGCTTTATAGGAGCCTGGGGAGAGCAAAAAGACCCCCCCCCCCGGAGGCCATTCGGAAGCTTCATGAGCTTCCCTGAAGTCTCAGGAACGCAAAAAGCCGGCCCTACGGGAAAACTGGAAGTTCGGGAACCGACTTCCGGTTTGCTCAGAAGGTCATTTTGATTGCTTCGGAGGCTTCAGGGAAGCCTCCTGAAGGTCCCTGAAGCCTTCGGAGCGCTTAAAACAACCCTCCAAGCAAACTGGAAGTGACTTTCAGTTTGCTCGGAGGGTCGTTTTGACTGCTTAGGAGGCTTCAGGGAAGCCTCCTGAAGGTCCCTGAAGTCTCTGGAGGGCTTTGGGGTGGGAGGCTGTTTTCGCCCTCCCCAGGCTCCTGTAAAGCCTCTGGAGCCTGCGGAGGGCGAAAAAAGCATGCAAAAATGGGGGGCCGCACCTGTAGTGCGCGCATTCACACGGGGTGTGTGTCGTGCATTGCATTATGGGTGCGGCACGCCCGCACATGACCCCCCCCTGCACTCCCCGCATTTAAGGCACGCGAGCCAAAAAAGGTTCGCCATCGCTGACCTAGTCAATTTGCATAACTAAAGATAAACCTGCATCTTTGTTTCCTTGGTTTGAGATCAACTCTTTCATATATCTCATTAACAATCCTACAGACTTGAACTCCGAATGGAAATTATCAGGGTCAATTCTAATTGGCTATTTCATCTAGAATATGGTTTTGAGACCTAGGTGGGAGACTTAGAATGGAAAATATATGAGGGACAATCTCTTGGATTGTCCAATGGTTTTGAGTGGTCTTCTAGGCCATCTGACAGGTCTGTGTTGAGGTTATTACTATTTTTCAGTGGTTCTAGTTCTTTCTGGGACGACATAACCAGAAGGCAGTACTGCGAAATTACAGTTCATACAACCCTATGTTATCTTGTCTTTAGACTATTTAAAATGAGACTGATGGGGCAGGTGATTTGGAGTGAGGTGCCCTCATTATGCAGATGACACCCTCTATTGCCCTTACCATCTAATTCCAAGGTAGCTAGACCCTTTGAAAGTTTCATGAACTCAACAAGGGACTGACGCAGAGAAAGAAAGCTAAATCCAGACATGATAGAAGTATTGCGGTTAAAGACAAAGGTGGGCTTGTTTGGAAGGGGTTGCACTCCTCTAAAGAGAATGGGTATGACATTTGAAGTGTCCCTTCACACCTGGCTGTCACTATATGTAGATCAGTGTTTCTCAACCTTGTCAACTTGAAGATGTCTGGACTTCAACTCCCAGAATCCCCCAGCCAGCATTCGCTGGCTGGGGAATTCTGGGAGTTGGAAGTCCAGACATCTTCAAGTTGACAAGGTTGAGAAACACTGATGTAGATGAATGTAAGGACAAGGAGAAGTCTGTACAACAATGGCTATTGTTCCTTATTGCAGTTCCTAAGCCTGTCAGACCTAGTGACTAATCCATACCTTCATTATATGCATTCTTTCTAATGCAGCATTCTGGCTAGTGCAATTAACACCTCTTTCCAAGGAGCTAGCCTTGAAAAATGCTGGGAGATTGCAACCTGTGCAAAATGTAGAAGGAAAGCTTTTAACTAGTAAGAGGTACCGAAAGATCTGCACTAGTCCCATCTGGTTATCAGGCACAATTTGTAGTGCTAATGCTGATTTTCAAAACCCTAAATAGCATTTGTTTGTCTGGCTTGTATACCATCCATTTCGCCTGAGATAGTAAGCCCTGATGTTTGTGGCTATCTGAAGGATTGCTTGTCCTACTGTGAACCCATTCAATTACTTGGGAAGTAGAAGGGACCCTTTTGAAAATT